CACACACCACACACACACACACACACACACACACACACGTGTGACTTGACTGCAGTGGGTTTGTTTATCAGCCAGTGGTCACTTGTTACAGGCTGCTGGCCTCTCTACTTTGGCTCACACACTGACCTCTCAAGGGTTTGTTGTCGCCTGTCCCTGGCCTTGTGGGCTTGGCCTCCCATCATGTTTGTGATAATGAACAAGTTTGTTGACCTTGGGGGGTGGGGTGGTTACAGGCTGTTTTTGATGTGCTCTGCTTCCTTTTCTGTCCATCCTTTTAATACTGTCTTGCTTTTCCCTGGCCTTCAATGACTGTTATCATCATTATCATCAGATATTGGCATCATCATCATCATCATCATCATCATCATTGTCATCATCGTAATCATCATCATCATCATTGTCATCATCGTAATCATCATCATCATTATCATTAATCAGAATAATCATCAGTCATCAAAATCATCATCTTCATCATCATCATCGCCATGACTATTGACAAAGTAGCTGTATCATCCCTATTTCTACTCATTGAGGATACCAATGATAGGTTCCTCTTCTATTCAGTCTGCTGTTTTGGTTTGCTTTCTGCCCCCCCCCCCACAAATTATTAACCGATTAGATCTGACCCTAATTGCATAGAATGTTTCCCTTGAAGAAATGTCAGATGGTAGGAAGGTGCCACTGGTAGTTGGTACTATTCTTTTCCTATTTTGATTTTGTCTGTCCGTTGTCTTTTTCCCCTTACACTAAATAACCGTTATTTTGTTGATGCGCTTCTTTTTACTCAAAATCGAACTGGAGCAAAAAGAAATCTGATTGAAATTGATGATTCATAAACCGCAGCATCTGCAGAGAGTCACTGTCACACACAGAAAGAAGACCAGAGTTTGATTCCTGTGTGGAGAAATGGAGTACATCAGTCTCTTTGTTGAGATGTTGTATCTGACTCAGCACGGATTGGCCATGATGGACAGAGTCGAAGACCGCCACCTAATCAATCTAAATTGTATCAATAAGAGCATAAAAACAGCTGCTTTGAAAGAAAAATGTTTAAAAATCTTTGAATCCAGCTCGCCATGTGAATGGTATTTTTGATTCCTTGTTTCAGTGGCTCGCCATTGAAGTGGCAGTTTGGTGGTACTGATTTCATCAACTCCAAGCTCCTCTCCTGAACCTGTGCTACATTTACCACCTATTTTCACCCATACTGTGGTGCTTTGTGCAATTACGAATAGTTTGAGTGCTCACGCAGACAAATCAATCATTATTGGACTGAATTATAGCTGTTTCAGGGTAACACCCTACTCAGCTGGATATGTAAAATTGTGGAATCCCTTACGTCTTGAAAGAGTTGATGACTCATAAGTTTTTTTTGCACTTTTTTTGTTCTCAGGTGAAGCAGAAGATGCTGAGCTTTATGCAGAACGAGCTGTCTCAGACGGATATGGGCTCCTCTCCTGAGCAGTTCCTGCCTGTCCTCTGTCGTATGGTGGACCAGTTGCTGTTCCTTATGGTGGAGTGGGCACGCAACTCTTCCTTCTTCAAGGAGATCAAGGTGAAGAAGGGAGATGGAGAGTCAGAGACAGACACACACACACACACACACACACACACACACACACAGAGAGAGAGAGAGAGAGTGAGAG